TCAGCTCTGTCTTCGAACGAGGCTCGACACTCCAGCTTCACACATGCTCGATCTTCGCAAGGAAGCCCGTCTCCTGATGTTAAAAAAATGATCGCGTCAGACCTTTTGCCGCATCAAGCTGACGAACTCCTTCGCGTTCTTGAGTCATACTGGGACGTATTTGACTTTTGTGATCGTCCACTAGGTCAAACCAGTGCGGTAAAGCACCGCATTGACACCGGCGATGCCTCCCCTGTCCATCGACGGCCATACCGCGTATCTTCGACCGAGCGTCACATAATTCAAGCAGAAGTCGACAACATGCTCGCCAAAGACATAATTGAACCATCATGTAGTCCATGGGCTTCCCCTGTTGTTCTTGTCAAAAAGAAGGACAACACTTGGCGATTCTGTGTTGACTACCGACATCTGAACAAGATCACTAAAAAAGACGTCTACCCGCTACCGCGCATAGACGACGCCCTAGATTGTCTTCACGGCGCTAAGTATTTTTCTTCTATTGATCTAAGAGCAGGTTACTGGCAAATTGCTGTCGATGACATGGACCGCGAGAAGACCGCTTTTGTCACCCCCGATGGTCTTTACCAATTTAAGGTCATGCCCTTCGGATTATGCAACGCTCCAGCCACCTTCGAGCGGATGATGGACTCTCTTTTGCGTGGGTTCAAATGGTCAATTTGTCTATGCTACCTTGACGACGTTATCGTCTTTTCCCCGACCTTTGAAACCCACCTCGACCGCGTTTCCTCAATACTGGCCGTATTTCGCAATGCCGGTCTCCAACTGAACTCGTCAAAGTGTCACTTCGGACGCCAGCAACTAACAATGTTGGGCCACCTTGTCGACTCCTCTGGTGTACGTCCTGATCCCGATAAAGTGCGAGCCGTGCGTAACTTCCCTGTTCCGACCTGCACTAAAGAAGTACGCAGCTTTCTCGGTCTGTGCTCGTACTTTCGACGTTTTGTGAACAACTTTGCGGAAGTCGCCCGTCCTCTCACAGACTTATTGAGAAAAGATGTCTCATTCACATGGGGCGCTGCGCAGGCTACGGCGTTCTCTACACTTATTGAATCGCTAACAAAACCACCTGTTCTGGCCCATTTCGACGTTTCTGCCCCTACCGAAGTACACACAGATGCCAGCGGTTACGGAATCGGTGCTGTTTTGGTTCAGCATCAAAGCGGCTGCGCCCGCGTTATCGCCTATGCCAGCCGTCTCCTCTCGCAGGCGGAAAGGAACTACTCCATCACCGAAAGGGAATGCCTTGCTCTCGTTTGGGCAGTAGCAAAATTTCGGCCTTATTTACATGGTCGACATTTCACTGTCATAACCGATCACCACGCACTTTGCTGGCTCTCGTCCTTGAAGGACCCCACTGGGCGCCTTGGTCGATGGGCACTACGGCTTCAAGAGTATAACTACTCGGTGTCCTACAAATCTGGCCGTTTACACCATGACGCTGACTGCTTATCTCGGAATCCAGTGGACCCACCTGAAGCGTTCGATGAATCGCCATGTGTGCTGTCTCTCTCCGCTTTAAGCAACATCCGTGAGGAACAGCGCCGAGATCCTGCCTTGCGTAACATCATCGAGAAGCTTCATTCTGCGGCACCCGATCCTTCTACTCGATTGTTCGTGCTTAAGGATGACACATTGTACCGTTGCAACGTCCGCCCTGATGGACACGAACTGCTCCTTGTGGTACCTTCCCACCTACGTGCGAGCGTGATCGGCCAGCTTCATGACGCTCCCACTGCCGGTCACCTCGGACTGTCTCGGACGTATGACCGCGTACAGCGTCGATTTTACTGGCCCAGTCTTTATCGCTCGGTCCGCAGCTACGTCGCCTCATGCGATCAGTGTCAACGCCGCAAAAAACCTTCTATGAGTCCTGCCGGGTTCCTCCAACCACTTGACGTTCCCTTTGATCCCTTCTTCCGACTTGGTCTTGACCTCCTAGGCCCTTTCCCTGCATCCACTTTGGGGAACAAGTGGATAGCTGTCGCGACGGATCATACAACCCGGTACGCTATCACGCGGGCTTTGCCAACCAGCTGCGCCACAGACGTTGCCGATTTTCTCCTGCACGACGTCATACTTCACCATGGCGCCCCACGCCAACTCCTAACAGATCGTGGGCGCTATTTCCTTTCCCGAGTTATCGACGACCTGCTTCGCTCCTGCGAGACGAAACATAAATTTACGACAGCTTACCACCCGCAAACTAACGGACTCACTGAACGATTCAACCGGACTTTAACTGATATGCTCGCTATGTACGTATCGTCCGACCACCAGGACTGGGACGTTGCATTGCCCTTCGTTACGTTTGCCTATAATTCTTCACGCCATGATGCAGCTGGTTTTTCACCTTTCTACCTGGTGTTTGGCCGTCATCCAACTTTACCTTTCGACACCATCTTTCCGACAGCCGTCGACTTTACGACTGAATACACCCGTGATGCTATCACTAGGGCTCGCAAAGCACGAGAAGTTGCTCGTCAGCGCCTTTTAGCATCGCAAGATCACCAGCGGCATCGTTACGACTCACATCACCGCCAAATTTCCTTTACACCAGGTTCTCTTGTGCTATTGTGGACTCCGACTAGACGCGTCGGACTTTCTGAAAAACTGCTTTCCCGGTACTCGGGACCCTACCGCGTATTGCGCCAGGTGACAGATGTGACATACGAGATAGCCCCGCTCGAGTCTTCCTCCGCCTCCGCTTCGCTGTCTACAGACATTGTCCACGTATCCCGCCTTAAGCTTTACCACTCGGCAACACAATAGAAAGCACCGAGACGGTGCTTCAGCACCCGGGGGTTATGTTACGAGACAATGCCCCACTTAAACAGTGAGATAGGCGCTGAGGAAGACGAGGTGACTTGTGTGTGCGCGCGCTCTCTCTTGTTCGCCATCTTGGCTTGCGCGTTGGCGCTGTGTAAATATATTTTAAAACGCCTAGTTTCCCTTGTGCCTTCACGCAACAATATATATATATATATATATATATATATATATATATATATATATGTGTGTGTGTGTGTGTGTGTGTGTGTGTGTGTGTGTGTGTGTGTGTGGTGTGTGTGTGTGTGTGTGTGTGTGTGTGTGTGTGTGTGTGTGTAGGTTATCACACGATCTCATCTATGGCAGTGCATAGCCAATACATGCAAAGAAGCAGCTGTTTAGCGTCCACCGCATCAAACGCTTCACAGTCACACCGGCACCATCACAGTCAAGAGTTGAACTGGGGCCTTCTCAGAATCAACGAGTTCGTATCCAAGTTCACACGTCAATCAGTTTGATTTACAGAAGCCCGTGACGAAGATCGGGTCCGCCCACCACTTTTGCTTTTGCCGAGGAGCAGTGCTAACACCACAACGCGATCGAGCGGCCCGACTTATCTATAAGCTTTATCGCACAGACTATGCGCAGACGTACGCAAAAGTAAAAGCTATATCATCATGTGGTTATATCGCATTCAATTTCCCCGCGCTGACGATGTATCTACTCGCAGCTGCGTTGCCGCCATGAGGCGTGCGCCCCTGGTGAAAGCCTGTTCTTATGTTTATCTGCAATATTTATTCATTATGATGATATGTGGGGTTTAACGTCCCGAAACCACCATATGATTATGAGAGACGCCGTAGTGGAGGGCTCCGGAGGTTTTGACCACCTGGGGCTCTTTAACGTGCGCCCAAATCTGAGCACACGGGCCTACACCATTCCGCTTCCACCGGGAATGCAGCCGCCAATGCCGGGATTCGAAACCGCGACCTGAGGATCAACAGCTGAGTGCCTTAGCCCCTAGACCTCCAGGGCGGGGTACAATATTTAATAGAAGCGAAACGAGCAGAGTGCTGCGTTTGCACCCTTGCTGCCTTATAGAGTGAAAATTTCCATGCTGCAGGTGTAACGAGAGAACCTGCCCGAAAGAGGACAAACGTCCACGAACACGCCTGTAGGAAACCTGTTCTTTTATTTATCTGCAATGTTTGATAGAAGTGAAACGAGCAACACGAGACTGCTGCGTGTGCACTCTTGCTGCCTTCAAGAGTGAAAACTTTCATGCTGCAGGTGGAACGAGGGAACCTGCCCGAAAGAGGACAAACGTCCACGAACACGCCTGTGGGAAACCTGTTCTTATATTTATCTGCAATGTTTGATAGAAGTGAAACGAGCAACACGAGACTGCTGCGTGTGCACTCTTGCTACCTTCAAGAGTGAAAACTTTCATGCTGCAGGTGGAACGAGAGAACCTGCCCGAGAGAGGACAAATGCCCAAGAACGCTCCAGAGAGAAGCACGTGTTTAGTTGCCACAAAGATAGCGCGACAATTAAACTGACGGTCCTTCACTGCTGAAATGCTGACTTAGTGGCGGCGGCCCCGCCGTGGCGGCGGCCCCGCCGTGGTGGTCTAATGGCTAAGGTACTCGGCTGCTGACCCGCAAATCGCGGGATCAAATCCCGGCTGCGGCGGCTGCATTTCCGATAAAGGCGGAAATGTTGTAGGCCCGTGTGCTCAGATTTGGGTGCCCGTTTAAAAAACCCCAGGTGGTCCAAATTTCCGGAGCCCTCCACTACGGCGTCTCTCATAATCCTATAGTGGCTTTAGGGCGTTAAACTCCACATATCAATCAAACTGAGTGGTGGGGCTGACGTGTACGCACGCACGCGGTGTTTCTTTGATAACCCACAAAAATGTCCCACATGCGTTTATGTCGCCATTTTTATCAGCACTGCTATGACGCGCTCCACAGTGTCTTGACGCCATGGCTGCCATAGAGCAAGCTCGGAGCACCCTCGTCTGCTCGAGAAGCTCTGACCACCCTGCATAGCACATGACGTGCCACTTGAGTGTGCACGTTACAATGACGGGGTTCAATTCTCGGGAATTATACGCGTCAAAAGTGGGCTGCGCGGCAATTAGAAAATAACAAGAGTTTACTTGTAGGTTACGCCGATGATTTTTGTTCCTTCTTTCTCCCGCATGTGTCCAGTGGTGGACGCAATGGGTCGACCTCCGGCGGGTATCTTCGAAGGCACCATCACGGACTTCGGTTCGTTCGACCAGTGTCTCGAGGTGCGCGCCCAGGATTCGTGGGGCGATGAGTCGTTCCGCGGCCAGTACTGCTCGTTGTTCCTCAAACCCAACATCGACACCAGCCGGCCCATCAGCTTCCTCAGGAACAGCCGCAGGGTACGAACCGCTCTCTGTGTGTGTCCGCGCCACCACTTTTGGTGACGTCGGCCACCTCGATTCCTCACAGCTCGCTCACACGCAGAACCTGAGCCGTATCATGAAGTCCATCTGGTTTCCGGGATTTCGGCTAGGTATCTGCGTACCATCAGCCTGTTCCAGGAACGACATCGATGTGCTCATCAAGTCTGGTGAGTCCATTATAGAATGATGGCCCGATACACAGCGTCCATATATCACTGAGTAGTAACCAAATGCGCATGTTACTAACCTATATTTAGATCTGTTGGAAAAGGAAATTGATAAACGAAAGCCGCTTATTTTTTAGAAGACGTTGTCTCAATTAGGGAGAAAGAGATAGGAGGAGAGTGGACAACAGATAAGGAATTTGAAGCGTGAGAAGACGCGAAATATTGAGGTGTACCTGTCTCTTAGCATTTCTGACACAAGTTATGCTTACATAATCTATTACTAGAAGCACTGTGTACCACAAAGGTGAGCATAAAGGTACAAAATATTGTCCCGTTTCTGTTTTTCTTCCTTTAGGAATGCACCAAAATTGGGGTCATCATTGTTAATTTTATTGTTTGAAATAACGCGTGAGTCCGGCAGAACTGTTTCTAAGAATACCAGCGTTAACACGACGGGCACAAGACAGGTGACAGGATGAACGCTGTGGGCACACAATTGTAACACGCCTCTCGTGCACCTCTTGTAAACAACCATTGACTTTGATTCATGTGAAGCCATTGTATCGTATATGCGAACTTAAAGACTACACGTAAGACCGCAATAGTAAACTAATGGATATTTTGGCGCCTTGCCATATGTAGACTTCTTTTTTTTTAGATATCAGAAGGAAATATTTGCAACAACAATGACGAGAACACTATTCGTAAAGGCACGTTCGAAATGCTATGACAGAAAAAGAAAGACCAATATGAGGAAGTACTTGCAAGAAGAAATGCCGAAGAAACACGTCGGAAATCTACCGAAGTACGCCGACGAGGCCGCTTCTTTTGTTGACAAAAAAAAAGCGCACAGCTTCAAAAGCAAGTGAGTAATAGTGAGGTACGAGTGAAAGCAGAGACCCAGCAGGATTGGCTCCCATAAATGCACGTTTTACAACAGGCTCTCGAACGAGGCGAGTGGGCTACAAATGTAAAAGTCTTACAAGATATGCATTATTTGACAGAAGTTGCCAACAACGTCGGAAACGCTAGCGAGGAGCGCTAAAGTGTGTTTAAGTGTACTTAGTTTATGTGCTGACTGTTTTGACGCAAACTCTTATCGGCGGACTGTGAACGAAATTGACAGGGGCCTTGTGACTACATGCACGGGGTGACACGCCACTGTTGCCATCAAGTTTTTTTGCTGGCGCAGTTTCAGACTCTCCATGTTTGACATATACGCAGAATGTTGTCTCCCAAGAAGAAAACATCAGCGAGAGCTCACAGTGTAAAAGAGAAAAAGAAAAACAATCGGAGACTACTGTAACGTCTTTGGTGGTTTTTGCCGAGACCTGCTTCCGCAGAGCCGCCATCGTGGCGCACGTGCTTCACATCTCTCGGGCGCGGTGGCCGGAAGCGCGGATGTTTCCGCGAAATGCGTGGCCTTGGATCTGCGCGGTCGCCTTATGAATCCAATTTTGCCGCGCACTGTCAGCGCGGAGGCCGCGCCTGGCGGCGGAAATGTTGCGGTGATTGAAGGGGGCTTCCCTCCTCCCACAAAATCCCAGTCCTCGCCGGCTTCTCTTAGTAATCACGGCGCTGTGTTGATGATTTCCCCGGCTTCGGTCGATAGCTTACGATGCATCTACCTTGTCCTTGAACCACGTGTATATCATTCTGGTTGCACGTGCTGCAGAATTGGCGATGTGCAGCGCTGGTGAACAATAATGTAATGCCAATTTTTGTCGGTAATTTCCCGACCGCTTCTTCTTATACAGCAGGCAACAATAAATGCCTTTGAATTGTCTCTTTCAGGAGCATGCGACGTAGATGGTGAACAATTTGTGAAGACTATTTTTCATAAAGCTGGCTGAAACGCAATTTCGTTCAACAGTTTCGTTGAAAAATATGATGCCATCCAGCTAACCAGTATGGACCGCTGCAAAAAAATAGACCCGATGTCTCGTTTTTATATGGCACAAGGACCAACCAAGCAAGATTAAACGGGCATACACCGGCTGAGAGTTGACGTTGCCTGTATACGAAGTACTTCAAGCACAAGATCATGCAGTTGGACTAACCTACGTGCACCGTATGTCATAAATTTGTGAATGACTCTTGTGTATATATGTATGTTTGTGACTGTACATAATAATTGCGTGCATATGTGATCATCTTATACGTCATAGTCGACACCAGAGAGCCGGAGTAGCAAGCCAGGCGATAAACCAGGCTAGAGCACCTCCGGGAGTTTCATTAAATATTATAATTTCTCTCTATGAACAATGAAGTTATAGTGTGCACACAAATAATAAAGCGGAGCACATCATCTTGAATTTTTCCATTCCTCTTCTTTTAACGGCTTTTTGTACTCACTTAACATTAAACTTGCGTAGAGTTGCGAGGTCTCCCAGAAAGACCAAAGTATTGTATAGCAGTTTCAATTGTCAGTAGACCTAATATGACCCTTGCACTCTTTTACAGCGTCAAAGGCAAACGCGAGAATTACTGATTAAGAGAAGAAATTCAATCATACTTTCATATTCCTGAAAAGGAAACCAAAATATCCATGCGGCGATATCTGCGAACTTAGTCGGCATGAAGAGGCCTCGACTACTGCAAACATTTTGGACAAAACGTGCAGACGGATCTAGGCTCGACTTACGCCCACAAGTGCCCCTATAGAAACAATGCCCAAGTTCACAAAGATATGGAGGCTCTCAAATTATTCTAGACTCATTAAACAAGCGATGCTGATGAAGCCACTGTTTCGTCAATGCACTTGTCGTAAACAGCGATCAAGACGGACAAATCATCAGGTCGAAACTTTCACTACAATTATACTGCTTAAGAAAGAGAACACAAAAATGAGATATTCATTTGCAGTTATATTCTTGGTGCTGTTGTCGCTAATTAGTTCGAGTGTTTTAAATGGTGCCTTCAGTTCATCGAATGAAAAATGCACGATCAAGATGTCGAACAACCTTAATGATCCCATCTTCAACAATAGTGAGAAATGCAGAACTCTTTTTTTCTTTTAGTTTTCGCAGAAGACCTGAGCGTTATCGTGCCTTAATAAATTTCTTCAATGGGGGAGTATGTCAAACTTTAGGTAAATTTAGCGCAACTTGGAAATTCACCCATTCACACACTTTTCCACTCAGGAAACACACTCCACACACAAAACTTAGTGGAAGAGTGTGTGAATGTGTGAGTGTTTCAAGGGATTTCCAAGTTGCACTAAGTTTACTTACAATTTAACATACCAACTAGCCCTACAACAAGTTTCGATAAAGAGTAATATGTGCGTTACAATAGCATCCAGTATACGCAAGCAATCTAACTTTCGCGAATTCCAGATATATTGGGCGCATGTGAGGCTGCCTCAAGGTGACATAGGCTAGCAATGTTTATTTTGCAGCCTAGTAGCATCTGTCGCTAATCTCTCCCTTTTCATGTACAATGCAGCTTTCAAGAACTACGGTGTGAACGCATCAGTACCTCTTTGCGACGTGCAGAGGGACATCCAACTGGATAAATTGCAGCAAGCGTCACTGTAAGTGAACGCACGGCAAGAATGTTGCCGCATGTTCACCACATTGGGGAAAGTTGTCTCTTAGATACCACAGATGTGGCGGGGCGTGTTACTTGTAGGTTTATTGCGTATTTTGAGATGTGCAACGTCCTGCGTGTACTTTCGAGCCTTTTTCTCCTTTTCTCTCGCTCTACATCCTGTTTCTGAGCCCTATTTCTACACCCCATGCTGAGCAGAAACCCGGATGCTGGTATCTGGTTAACCTCTCTGCCTTCCTCTGCGTCTCTTCTATTTCTTGAAATCTGCTCGTACTACTTTAAAACCAAACTGATTTCTTTTCATGTGTGCAGGTGTAGAAAGGCTGCACATTAAAGTGCATTCGGCCGCTTTTTTGAGACTTTATTTATCTGAGCTATTATTTATCTGAGCTTTAACTTTTGTCATTTTTAACCACTGATCACATACACAATCACCGCTCAAATCGTGCAGCTTCTTTTGGCACTCCATGAAACAAAAATAACTCCTACATACAAGCTAAAAATATCTGTGGTACACGAAACTAAAACTTGTATACGCACGCTATGTCCGCGGAATCACTCGTTCTTTGTTCACACAGGATCTGCTTGTGCGTGGTGCTGAGCATGGTGGGTCTGGGAACCCTGGTGGACGTTTTCCTCAGGAGCCGTGAAGAGAAGGACCGTAAGCCCCGTGCGTATACGTTTATTGCATTATGAAACATGCCGCGTTGGTTTTCCTTCGTTTAGTGGCAAGAATGACCACGAGTGTTAAAGTGGCACCAATCAACACACTTTTCGAGTTTTTCTTATTCTTAACACGGCAACTGTTTATTCTTTTCGTTCTGCCGTTTCGCGTAACCAGAAAACTAGGCTGCGCCTTACGCGTGCTGCGCAGTAACTCGATCTATGCGCGTTCTCTTCGAACTTTCCTTAAGGTTGACTATCAAAAAATACAGTCTGCTCTTGGCGACGTACATTTGAGCAATGCGGACAATTAGAGCAAATGTTTTTGTTTCGCCCAGTCATTCTTCTGAATGTTGGCGTCTTTTGAAGAAAACAAAAAACAAGCCGACAACAGATAAACATAAGAGAAGGGAAAACAAGAAGTAGAGAGATCGAGAAACAGACTGTAACAAAGAGAGAAAGGATCTTGCTAATTAATATTGCTCTAATAGACATCATGCTAATTAAGAGCTCGCTAATAGTCCCGCCGCGGTGGTTTAGCGGCTAAGGTACTCGGCTGCTGACCCACTGGTCGCGGGAACGAATTCCGGCTGGGGCGGCTGTATTTTCGATGGAGGCGAAAATGCTGTAGGCTCATGTGCTCATATTTGGGTGCTTGTTAAAGAACCCCAGGTGGTCGAAATTTTCGGAGCCCTCCACTACGGCGTCTCTCATATACATATGGTGATTTCGGGATGTTAAACTCCACATATCAATCAATTATCAGACCTCGCTATTAATCTATGTAGATCACAAGTTCCGCTGGTAGTCGAGCCTTGCACCGCTAGTACAAGCTGACCCATCGCCCGTTTATTTTTAGCAAATAACTGTCCTCCAATGCAACACATGTGTAAGATCGGTGCGCAGATACATCGCTTATCTCAGTCGTGGGATTTCTTACACGCAGAAACGCATGCTCTTTAGAGATAAACTCTGCTCTAACTTGAAACGATTTTTTGTCAGTCAGAATAAAATGTCATAAAGGCATCCTCTTGATCACCATCTTTCGGTAAAGTTCGCTTAATCCTTCTTCACCTCCTTGTGGTTACGTTCTTTTACCTTATTGCCTCTGGCTGTCGGAATCAATCGTGATCGCTATTTTTATTAGTAATGTTTATAAAAGATATCGCCGACTAAACTGGCGTCAGATACTCGTCTTCCCATGACATATATACCTATGTGGTACCACGGCCACCTGGATCGGGCGCGCGCAGCGGTGTTCCTCTGCCGCGCGCGCCCGATACTGGCGGCTGTGGTGGTACGTATGAATGTCATTCGAACAATCACACGTATCACGCACATCATGTGATTGAAATTGCCTTCCCGCATCGTTTGTAACAATTTCAGATCGTGACACATTTGTGACTTTAATAACCGATTTTTCGAATACCTGGTAATCGTTTTCATCTTATACACTTATCTAAATAAGATTTCACAGCTAGCTGTTGTATTGAATTGTAGCAGCGATTATTGTATATTCAGAAACGTTGTCTTTATTTTTTTTTACAAGAATGTGTCCTTCTATTTACTATTTTCCTCTATGCCATTTTGATATTTTCCATTTTTGCCCCGCCGTGGTGGTCTAGTGGCTAAGGTACTCGGCTGCTGGCCCGCAGGTCGCGGGATCTAATCCCGGCTGCGGTGGCTGCATTTCCGATGGAGGCGGAATTGTTGTAGGCCCGTATGCTCAGATTTGGGTGCACGTTAAAGAACCCCAGGTGGTCGAAATTTCCGGAGCCCTCCACTACGGCGTTTCTCGCAATCATATGGTGGTTTTGGGACGTTAAACCCCACATATCAATCATTTCCCATTTTCATTTTGTTTATGATAATCTATTATTCTATAACCAGAAACTTTCTATTGCCTTTTTGTACTTGCAAACTTGTTTTGTTATTGTATTTTACCACTCCCTCTGTAATAATGTCTGTTGATCCTGGTGGTAAATAAATAAATAACTTAAATAAATCAATCAAAGCACAAGACAAGTTTGAGACAACGGAAAAGCACAGAGAGCGCAAAAAGAACATTGCCCCAGTTTCTCTTGTAAATGTTCGTCTCGATTCTTCTCAGTGCACTGGTAGGTCAGCTTGAGAAGTCTATTTTCGCAATACCTCAATTTTAAATAAATGGAAACGCTTTCATGTTCTGTTATTCTGTCTGGACCTTCATTTCTACTACTTCATTCACCGCTAAAGAATACGAGTCCTCCAATTCGAGGCCTTGGCTACAGTTTCAGCGTTGAAAGCTGATCGTTGATCTGCTTCGCAATCGAAATCTCGTAACCCCTCTCCAACAGGCACATAGTTCGCTTCAGCTCCTTTTTCGCTGTGTCGTAATAGTTGAAACGAAGTCCTAAGTTGTATTATTAACAGCATTCCGAGCGTCACACCGCAGCAACGATTAGATCCCATGCTTTACCGCGTGTTTCAGATGCGGTACTGGGCGCTCTAACCTCTTGGTCCGCGTACAGCAACACGCTGCGGTTGTTCGACGTCTCCGATGACGGGTCGCGGCTGCGAGCGCTTCATGGCGTGCGCTTTCTCACTATGCTGTGGATCATCCTGGGCTACTGCTACGCACTGACTCCCATTCCCAACCGCAGTGAGTATAACAGTTTACACATCCTCTATCGCACCTTTCTCCCGCTTCGCGACAAGTGAGCTTGGACTGGAGTGCTTGAAAAACAGAGCTAAAGAATACACGGAGAGGTGCACCTACAGCAGACGTGACCGTTTCTGTCACTGTCCATGCGTGTTTTCAGCGTTGCTTTTTTTTTTAAACGTTCTACCAAGGACACTGTTAAATCAAACCCCAGCTCCACGAACTGGAAACCACACTTTTAATCTCCAGCTTCTGTATGCATCGGCGAATTTCGGGCTCGCGCAGTAAACCCGTGGGTCTTGTACACCTCTTGCAGGAAGAATCTTCAACATGTTTGATTTTGTCAAACACACGCCGTTCATGTTCATCGCCAATGCCTACCCAGCTGCCGACACCTTCTTCTGCCTAAGGTATGGGCCAATGAAACACCGACTGTATAAGCCAAGATGTTCTCCCTCTTAACCCATGCATGGCAATAAGTGCAAAAACTTTAACGCTTGCTCGTAAGGCGAACCAAATGAGAGATAACATATTTTGTGATGTTACTGTTATCAATAGACATAAAAAAATATCTTGCTCCTATGAGAGTTTGAAACTGCAACTCAGGAAAAAAAAAAAGCTCTGCTTTCTTGCGAATAACTTTGACGCCAGGTGAGCACATGGGTCTTCGGCATAAGATCATATGCGATAGGAATAACTATCAAAACACAATTTATGAGTATTTAATTTCATCGCAGCCAATTTTAAAAACTTGAGCCATCCCAAATGTGCGCGCGAGTATTGCCACAACTGCAAAATTCATACGTTCTCCTATAGGTAAACGTAGAAATTTTCTATTCAATATGGCGCGGTTTGCACTTGAATATGTGCTCATGGCAACTGTCGGCTATACTTTATTGCGCTGTCCTGCAAATCGGAGCTCGTAAAAAAGACGAAAATCTCTGGTCTCAACAATTAAGTTCCCTCACAATACTCAAGCAGGCATGTTACCCTCTTGCAAGTTTTCAAACAAATGACCTTTATTTCAGTGGATTCCTGTTTGGCTACAGCGTTTTCAAGCAGCGCCGAAACCTTAGCAAGTGGCTTCCAATCCTGTTGATCAGGAGATACGTGCGGTGAGTCGGCGAAGCAGCCACCTCGTTACATGTCTTCCCAGGCGGGGCTCGGGGAACAAACGCGCCCAGTGCAGCCACCGTGACTTGTGTAGGACGTCTTCGCATCAATGAACGTCAATAACTCTAGCTTCACTCAGCTGAAGGGCGGGACGACGTATACATACTTTTTCAAGGAAACTTGTGTCGACCAGTTTGCCTACTGAGACTGTAGAGCTGGAGGCTAAGCCATCGTTGACACATCGTTAATTGATTAGTGACAATCATATTATGGTACCTGGATTTATTTTATGTTAATGAAAACCAGAGAATGTCACCAGGAAAATCAAACCGCAAATTTTGCGGTCGTTGCACCTTGATATGATGGTGCTTCGACACAGGTCGACTTATTCGCCAGGTTAAATATTCGGAACGGTTTGAAAGACGAGCTGATGTCAATGTCATGAAACCAAACGCACTAGCGATTGGTTATAATTCTTACCCCACGGTGGTTGCACTTGCTACGTCAATGATGATCAAAGATGTGACTATGAAACCACGTTGAGTGAGCGAGTGAGTGAGTGAGTGAGTGAGTGAGTGAGTGAGTGAGTGAGTGAGTGAGTGAGTGAGTGAGTGAGTGAGTGAGTGATTGAGTGAGTGAGTGAGTGAGCTTGCACAATTCACGCCTGAATCACCCTGGTCCCGCTGCCCGCACAAAGGCACGGCGACATGCGTAGCAGTTGCGCTTAAAATGACGCCGTTTGGTTGGGCTCTGTCCGCCCTCGTCCTTCATACATCCGGGGGCGAGACAGGGTCATCATACCATGCTTCTGCCTGCTGCTGGTCTTCTCGCTTCTGGGCCTGGTGTCGTCGGGACCCATCTGGCGTGACAACTACGCCCTGCTGCGCGGCAACTGCGAGGCCCGCTGGTGGAAGATACCGGCCCTCGTCAACAACTGGGAGTACAGCCTCGACTCTGTAAGTAGCGCCCATCTCTGTGCAAAACAGCCGTATATGATCGGCATACAAGCCACAAGTTTCAACTCGGTGCTTCAGGTTATAGTGAACATGATTCGCTCTTATTTTAGTAGCCATGCAACTAAGTACGTAACTCTTTTACACCTGAGAGCGAATGCTTGCATGACATGAAAGCCTTCATTGAGACGTTGCATACTGTAAGGGAATGACCACCCGTATTGAAAATTAGTGTAGTGGGAAATGTGACGGTGGTCGGCCGTTGCATACACAGATGTGAGCTACATTTCGCGGTTCCATGTTGCGCACATTTGAACGAATTGTATGCGCAGACATATCACTATTAAGGCGAACGCCTTGTATGCTTCATAAGATGAAAAATCCAGTGTGATAATGAAATGCTACAAAAGATATATACATACCAAGTGACCTCTCAAGCTTGTCTCGAGGCACGCGAGCTGCGCACTCTCTTCGTCTTTGCCGCGCTTATGTAACCAACACCTTCGTCTTTGCTGTGTTCACGTGACTCAGCCTACTGACGGCTATCGAGTAGCATAGCGCACCATGGAAAACAAAACGCTCAGCGAATTCCTAGTGGAATGTTTGCTATGCCGAAGAGGTATACAACACCGAAGAAGGTTCGACAAGAACAAAATTGATGCGCGACGATACAGACGGCTCTTCGGATTCTGAAGTGGATTTTAGGTTTTTAATTAATCGCCACTAAGGCTTTCAGCTTCTAGCCTTATCGATGGTGTCAGACACCCTAAGAATTTCCACGTGCAACTTTTGGTAAATACAGGGATTTAAATATGCGACTTAAATATTTATTGTTGTTCAATCGTACTCGGCGTACAGCTGCGATAAAACCACTTTTGGAAACGGAGCCAATTAATATACGCAGAAAAGGATCTTCGAGGAAGATGCTTGTTACTTTCTTCTTCCTATTATTATTATTATTATTATTATTATTATTATTATTATTATTATTATTATTATTACAACGGACAACGAATGCCGTTTCACATTCTGTACTGTACTAGCGATAGTAGCTGTAGAACGCCTTGAAAAACAGAGCTGCCGTTAACGCCCCGAGAAATAAAAGAGGGAATGCGGCATGAATTTCTTCGTCTTCGTAGGAGATAAAATAATATATGCAATAACCATCTTAGCTTGAAAACCCGTCATATTCAATTGTATCTAGGCAGCGGAAATCATGTACCTTAATTGTTTGTGTGCTAATTTTTGCAACAATTTATTTGTAACAATGGTAAACGAACCAGCCCTATACACTCTCCTTCTGAATATCCTTTAAGCGGCGGAATGATATATTCACCTTACCAGTCTTTACAACAGCTTGTGGCGAAGATATGGGGATGACGAACTAGGTTCTACAAAGCAATGACAGTAACATGGCAACAAGAAATGTCGGCATTGGGAATGAAGGAGACTTATTGAGGACGACAAAATTACGGCCATTGCGAAAGTGTGTTTGCGTGGGAGCTCAAATATGGGCTAGCGTATCTGGTCCACCACCACGGGCCACTTTACTTTTGACTACATCCGGTAGAGGTCCGCACGATGAACGGAGCCAGCGGCCGATACAATGCCAGTTGCGCATACACATTGGCCTAAGCGCTCCAAAACATTCATTTCAGGGCACAGTTTATTCAATCTAAACATCACTATAGGAGCACATATCTTCCATGCTATACAGTATCATGCATCTAACCAACGCTGTCGGCAATTTTCATACGCGGCCTCGGATAGGCCCCAGTGACCAACGGGATGTTTTAATCAAACACACTAAACACTCGCCGTATGTTAACACCTAACGGAGAAACATCATTCATAACAACCGCAATTCCACACACTCAAGGGCACTTGGTGCATCTCCCACTCACGGCAACGCCCTCGCGCACTATTTCATCGTGATTCTATCTCGAGCACGAGGCCGTCATGCTGCACAAGGACGTGGCTTGAAATGAACAGGGAACTTCGCTCCGTAGTAAAAGGCGTCCTTACATACCCTCTGCACAAATGCCGCGTGACAAACATGACAAAAATGAAGTCAAGGCAATGTCGGTCACGAAATGAACAAAACTGTAGCACGTTCGCTGTATTAATCGCATGCAACCAATCCGTCTGGACACATTCGCAGTTTCAAGTATATGTATATGCTGTTAATTTGCCGCTGTTAATGGTATACGGGAAAAGGTACAAGGGTTTATCGACTGATAATCTAGAGCTCTCCATGAAGGCAGCATAATTCTAATCAATGACACCTCTCATACAAAATGCCCATGACATTATCTTATACTTTCTCCAGCTTCATCACCCTCCAATTCGAGAAGAAATAAATGCAACGCAGAAGCCATCACGCGAACCATGTAAATGACCTCCCATTAAATTAGGTGTGAAAGCAGTAGTAGTTGAATGATCATTGAAGTTGAGTCATTTGAGCTATGCTAACTCAAATGACTGACTGTTCTCCTTCTTCGGATATCTGCTTCCTGCTAGTCCTGTGCGCATCTATTTCGACATATTTGGGGCATTTACCTCGTAAGTATACTGTAGTTGCGTGTCTGGTGTGCCACCTCTGGCTGCACTCCTGCACTAAGCCACCCATGTGTCCAACCTAAATGTGCCAAATCATCCTGAGTGGTCATGAACGAGTCCGAATGTGTGCGAGCGACAGTAACACGCTGAATAAGACAAAGCCCGACCGTAACTGAGCATTTAGCTTGAAATGTACTTAGTGAGTGAGTGTGTCTTAATAATTTCGCCAACTTACGATTAGATTTTACAATTTTCCATGGTACAAAATGGTCGAGGCTTGCAGAGTGGTTCCCAAGAATTGAGCGCGGAATAAATACTGCAGCCACACATGACTTGCAACTTCTACGCTTACATTCGCTGGCGTCTGCTACGTCCTCACGCTGCATACTTTGTGAGAACTGTTTTTCTCGGTCAATTCCTCCCATTTCTCATACTCTTGCGGAGTCATCAGTCCAGGCGAAAGCTGAGAGGTGGCACTGAAGCAATCGCTCACGAATATAAAAACTATATTAAAGAGGGAAAACTATTAACAAAATGTGGCTTCTGCGCACCTGGCAAATAAGCCGAATCCTGTTGAAACCACGTCGAAAAAAACAGTTACCTTCAACCAATCCCTCTCAGTCGCGTTAGCACAACTCACACCACAACCCAGCAGTTATGAAATAAATAGCCATGCTCCATCCAAGTCCCTTAAATTTTTCAGTTCAGTGCTTCCACTTCTATCCCATAGCTTCAAATGTTTTCCTGTGATCTTAAACCATGTTCACATTTCCTTTGCGCACAAGTGCCGACTCTTGCGTTTTGCAGATGCAACGCTTTCTGCATCCGCAGCTAGATAGCCAGATGGGATTATATACTGTTCAAGTGCTATGTCTACGCGCGTGTCGACCACACACACAAAAAAAACAAGGCTTACAATCACGACCCACCATGGTACTTAAGATGTTGCGCTGCTAAGCTAGAGGACGTGGATTCTATTACCTGTCCGTGCGGCCACATCTAGATGGAAACTAGATGAAGAAACAATCGCGCAGTTCGATTTAAGTGCACGTTAAAAAAATTCAGGTGGGCAAAATTTACCCGTAGTCCTCCGCGGCCATGTGCATCATGATTATATTAGGCACTTTACGATCCGTTCCGGTCAGACCTGCGTCTGCTAGTGATTTTCACACAAACGCATAGAGCGCATGCGCAGAAACATCGTGCCAGCTGCGGAACGTGAAACGCATCTTTCTCAAGTCGACTGAACCGAGGGTGAAGGTTCGTCTATTTTGTTTCACCGTCGTTTTCAGCCAATCTGACCGCGCCTATTGGCAAAACGCGCTCGCCAAAATGAAAAATCTATGCAGTTCCCTGCACTGCCACAGGACGCTACATGTTCGCGTGGCTGAGCGTAAGCTAAGCTCAGCTAAAAGCGCGTATGGTGGTTTTGCCACGTAAAACCGCGATACAATATTAATATATTTACTATTGCATACGACTACTAGTCACAATATAAGCAAAGATATTGTATCTATCAAGTGTGAGCAAAGCAACAGTTTGAGTAGGCCTCCTCCTAATATGTACACCTGCACCCTAGAGCATGAGCTCCACCGCAAGTGCGAATTTCTCCTATGTTTGTGCGCGGCGCTTCTAACCTAGCAGGTCGAAACGACTGTAAGGCAAGCAGGAACATCTATTTGGTGGCCATGTTTTCAGACAAAAAGGCAATCGGGGAAATTTTGTGTTCCGCAAACTTTCGCGAGTGGGGGTACATTTCCCTATCCCAGCGTTTCCTGCTAGCATTTGCACAGGCAGGTTGCCCCTCAGACCGAGGACGTTCTGGCAACTAACCTGGATGTCCGCAACGCAATAATAATGAACATTTAGCAGTGTCTAAATACTTATTTGCGTTTTAAAAGCAACAGACTAATTGCAAAGTGTGGCCAACATAATGTAACTGCGTCATTCCACTATGATTCTTTTCCTAGCTTTGTCACGGGACCAAACGGCTCTTCACGCATATGCGGCGTTATCAGAATTAATTTCAGTGGATGTTGAAGAATACAATGAAACAAAAATCACTCTATTACGCCTCTGCGTATGAGCGAAGTTTTTGCGCTAAGCAACTCACTTTTCAATGTCACACCTTAAGTATACACCACAATCTTACTGCGTGACTTTCATCTATCACGCACTACGCAGCTGCCCAGTGATGAAAACTTTCGACCATGCACCTGTTCGTGTCTTTTCCATGCCACATCGATGCCCAGGTCCCTCTTGATGCAGCCGGGGCAATACTCGGCGCCGCAGGAGCTGTGTGATAGTGCCTTCAACACTCTATCATTCATTCCCGTTTACTAAGCTCAGACGCTTCTGCTTTCTCATCAACGGTAGGGAATTGCGAAAGACCCACCTCGGCTTTGTCGTGCCTGACCAACTTCCGCCATTTTCGCAGAGATATT